TATGGCTGAACCTACTACAAGTCACTTTGCATTTTTATTATCTTCTATGGGTTTTTTTACCTTACACCACGGAGAAGGAATAATCCACTAAAGTCACTATTCACACTGCAATATGTTATAATGTCATAATGTCGTAATTTACACGACGAAGAGATACCAGGAAAGAGACTTATGGCAACGTCTGCCACATAATGGCTCAGTTCAAATGAATCTGTTATCGGTTACACATGGTTTACACGCCACTGTCTACTGCTGCTGTTAACCTTTAAAGAAAATATTACCTGACAAGGATTTATTTTACCTGACACTTCCATCTATAGCAGTGGTCCTCAATTATTTTCTGTCATGCCCCTCCTTGGGGACAGAAATGTTTTCCGCAAATTGAAATACTATTGAAATCCTAATAAAATGTTTTGGGTTTTTTTAACCACCGTATGAGTTACTGCCACCTAGTGACTGGAGGCTTGTTATCATTCAAGCGTTACAGCAGTGGTACACTTATGTCCAACGGGCCATATTCCATTGGAACCCCCCCCCCCCCCATCTCCCCCCACCAAGCTATTTGAGAAGTACTGATCTATAGAGATTGGTTCTGTTGCTTTATTACAATTATATGTTTAAACCATACAAACTCTATTTTAATACTCACCTGTGTGCCAGGTGATGCCTCAAGAAAGAATCCAGAGTAAGTAGTATTAACAGGATCATGGTAAACTGCCGTACCAGCAGGGGTAAACACACCAAGGTTATGCAAGTGTACAGGCACTGGGGGATTCGCAAGTTGAGTAGCACTTTTCCAGGCACTTCCAATGCACCACCTATAGCTCCCAGCCAGGCAAGACATAGGAGGAGGCAGTAGGACACACTGCCTGGTTGATGCCTGACATTCTGGGTTCCCTCCTGGTTGTTAGCTTTGCTGCTGCTGCTGCTGCTGCTGCTACCAATTGCCAACCACAATCTAATACTCACCACTATTAAAGCTACAGAAAGAATACACTGACACAGGGAGTATAGCCACATGAAATCCATATCTGTGGGAGAGAGAAAAAAAATGAATCAATTGGCTGAGGCAGTGGCAAAACAAAGACACGAATCCTTTTTTAAAAAAAGAATCTATAAATTTTATCACATAAATCACTGGCTTTGACACTGGCAGATAAACAGGTAGGGAACTCTTTGACACGAATCCTTTTTAAAAAAAAAAGAATCTATAAATTCTATCACATAAATCGCCGGCTTTGACACTGGCAGATAAACAGGTAAATTTTGCATGAACCATTTTGAATATATTTAGCATTGACTCCAGCATTAGCTATGCCTTAGATATCTTTAACTTTTGCTTCCTTACTTTTATTTCACCTCTCGTCCAAGAGGCTTCTCCAGTTCTGAAGTTCAGTTCAGAACTGAAGAAGCCTCTTGGATGAGAGGTGAAATGTCTTAGAAAAAAACCACTTCGTCCAGTTGCCCTCGATGTAACTATTTTTGGATTCATTATTTTTACTTTGACGAAGTTTCTAGAAATGTTCGTATGCCTTGTTGCACAGAGATGCTGCTTAGAAAAAACAACAAATAAGCAAATACAGCACAGTTGACATTTTCTGAAATTAGGCTAAATTAAATTAGATTTAAATGTCATCACATATTCTGAAAAAAACAGTCTATCTATCTATCTATCTGTCTATTATAAGCAAATAAAGCACACTTGACATTTTCTGAAAGGCTAAATTAAATTAGATTTAAATGACATCACATATTCTGAAAAAAACTATCTATCTATCTATCTATCTATCCGTCCATCCATCCATCCATCCATCCATCCATCCAGCGTACACACACAAAAAGAAAAGAAATATGATTCCTCAGGGACGTTTTATGGACAGAGGGCAGAGAAAAACTAAATTATTTTGACCACTGTTAAAAAGCTGTGTCTGGACCTGACAGGCGTTCTCTACAGAGACTGTGAGCACGGTACAAACATGGAGCAGTACCCACCAGGCCTGGTGACAACACACTGGTAACACTTACTTTTCTTTTTCCACATTTTTTTATTTAGTTTCCCCTTTCCCCTGCAGCTCAGCCCAGTCCATTCACATTCTACCCAGAGTGCAATACAACAAGAACTGAAATGTGCAAACACATTGACACCCAGTCAAACAAGCACACATGCAGCAGACGAGTCATTTTTTTAGCAATTGAATTTGCCATATGATTGACAGCTAATTTTATTGCATTTTCAAGCGGCAGCTTCACTTGAAGCACAGTAAGTGAATAATGAAATGAAAAGTTTGCCGCCACAATATGATTACACCTGCGCATTCCCCTCGTAATTACTTTGACCTTTTGAGAATATTTTGTGTGAGTTGTCACTTTTTCGTAATCAACACGACCGGGTAAAATAACTGCTTTATACGCCGTCATAATCACCTCACGCAGTTGCCTTCTGCCTCAACTCCTAAAGGCCCCTAGCAAAATTGATTAGCTAAAAAATAACTGGAGCTAAATTCACCTAAGTATGTTTTCCATTTATAGCAGTGCCTGGTCTGCCTTGATTTAATTAAATGCCATAATTAATCCATTTATTTCTTTGAAAAATTGTCAGGCTACGCCACTAAACCTTTCATTCCAGTCGTTGGAAAAGGAGAAACTAGAACAAGTGACACGATGTTAAGTAATTAAAAAGGCAGTTACCTTTTTGTGAAGCCCTTTGGATGACACAGTCGGCGTATACTAATGTGAATTAGAATCACTCTCTCTGCCTCTAAACCTCTTCCTTTTGCCACCAGCCCTAAAATGACAGGACAGACTCACATCATAGACCTCTACTTAAACACTCACCATCTACAGTATCTTGCTCTTTTCTGTTTCTGCAAACATATCAATTGTGTCAATGTTAGATCACGAATGCCCTTTGCACGTATTTATTGGAAAGAACAGTCGTGTTCTCCCGACTGGTGGCACATTTAGATAGAAAAACATGTGCATGTATCAATACAGCTCCACTTACAAATAAAACAGGGATACACACACACTCCTGCAGAGAGACTTTGTCCCCCAGATGGAGACAAACTGGAGACAAACTGCTCCTGGTTGAACACCTAAGCAAGTCTTTTTGGTCTATCACTAGTTCCTTGAATTTTTAAAAGCCAAAAAAAAAAGCCTGTAAATCAAAAACTTCATCATGCAAAAACCAAGGATAAAAAGTTTGTCCCTGAGATCCTGATCCGTGAACCACTAACCGGGCTTCGGTAAGTGCAAACTTTCCACAACCTGACAGATGTGGTTATGAATCCCAACAACATCTCAGCAACAGCCCCATGCGTCACAAGAGAACATGTGTTTTTCTCAGTTAAGGGGTCTTCCAGGAGAAGAGCCTGGCCAATTAGGTACTCTTTAGTGCCGCTGTACTTACAGTACTGTATTGTTACTGCATCAAGGTCTCTGCTGGACACGCTGCTTTGTGTCCATTTTGGTTAGAGTACATTTTCCTCTTTTTTGATTCTGTCTTATTTTGTTCCGTCTCTCACAAGTCTATTTTCACATCCTTCAATTGCTAATACACACGTTCCTTTTCCTAAAAAAAAAAAAATAGAAAACGTATATTACTATCTACATTTGTAACAGTTGTAACTGTTACTTTTTAGATAAATCAACAACCTAAAATAATTGTCAACTTTGTA